TTAATTTTACCAAGTAAATCAATTAGACTTAATTGAATAATATATACAAGGTAGGGCACTTAGATAATCGTAGAATCTGTCTTAAGCTGTAGCATCTTAATCGAATCATTTACTGCTGCAACAAATATCTTATTATTAGACGTATTGTCCGTCGTTACCACCAGTATACAGTCAGCGATCTGGTGCTTCTGTAGGATCTAGAGAATAACCCTACCGAAGTTCACTTCGGTATAAGATCCAGAAATTAACTCAAACCTAAGTAGAACTTCGTGATACTTCCATTTCTAGTCTAGGAAGTATCTTGTGATAGCTATAAATACTTGCTAGAATAAAGAAGTCCAACAGTCAAGCATAATCGATATCTTTGCATCAGATAGAAGCCATTGTAGTGTCTTCTGTTGATGTTCTAGAACAAAACCCCGAAGGCGGTCGTGAATTATCTTTCTTAATGGAACATTTGGTGGTGTAGATGCTAGTCGTACGTAGGAAAGGAAATCATGGAATTCTTAATACTTAATAAATAGAAAGAGTAAATACGATACAGTGATTAGATTCAAGATCTTCTGCTCCTATATTTGCTGGGTAAAAGTATGCGCTGGTCTTCTCTTGGTCTAAATAATAATAATTTAATATTAGTATTGATATAGAATATAGATTGGTTTTAACATATCGTATTACTAAGTAGTTGCTAGATATTACTCTTCTTAAATATTCGCTGTCAGCATCTTAGTCTATCAAGATATTTCTGTATCGATAAGATTCTAATATAGTTGGTACTTAGATACTCGAGAATTGTACAACACCACTTACATATAATACCTGGCTTCCTATCTTTAGCATTTGCAATTTGTTGAAATCCTTTTCAGCACTCTACACAACGATTCATATCCCAATTAATTCGCTTCTTCTTACCAAAGTTAATCTCAAACTACCACTGGATAAATTCTGCAGTTATTATAGTTGTAAAGATAATATATTCATTAATATAGTCTAGTTTGATTCGGATGAGAGTGTCTGGGACCTAAGGTACTACATATAATCGATGGGTTGGAAGGTCTAGAAGGTTTGGAACTAATCCAAACTAGCTTTCAGATTGTAGTTGACTCTGGCTTTTACGTTGGGATAATGAATCGTTAGGAATAAGGTATTGCAGCATATCTAACTGCACTCCGTCGAAGCTAGATGATGCATAGATATCGGAGAGCTGAGATATGATAGATTTAGTAACCAAAAGACAGTATTATAACTAAGAAGGAAGATATTAAGAAACTTATTGATTAGTTTGTACAGAAAGATGCGCGATATTCTTAGGGCATCCGTTTGTTCCTATTCTATATATTAGAATTGATCTATTATCTTTTGTATCCATATAGCTAGATCTGATTAGATAATATAGTGGATAACCTAATAAACGAACCTTAACGAACCTCAACGAACCTCAAATAGACCCTTACTTACCCGCAGCGACCCTCATCGACCCTCTAGAGGACTCTTACTACCCGCAGCGATCCTTATAGGGATCCTCAAAAAAATCCTCAAGTTGAGAAAATAGTATTGATCAAAATGGCTAAGTCCAGTAATTATAACTTTTAAACTGGATTGACGACATACCTAGACTATTTATCTTGAATTCTTTAAGATAGATTGATAGAAGAAGATATCATAATTTAAATGATATAAGAAAAAGGGAATATAAACTATGTCTTAATAGCTTTCTTAAAAAAAAGTAGTTCTACAAGGAAAGATATATATAGATTACAATATTCACAATATATATATCTACAACTTTATATACGATTTTATTGACAACCGTCATTGACCACCCGCTATATTGATATCATCGAATATTACTTATAATCTATAGGTAACTATACCTTTAGTTTACTTTTATATAAATATTTCTTTATAATTCATTTTATTGATAGAGCATTCAATGAAATATCTGCAAATTAACAGAACAGCTATAAAAAACAGAGATGAATCATCAATTTTATCCAACCGAAAGAGGTAAGACGTCTAAAATTTATGCAAATGCGGGTTGTTGAGGGTCGCCGAGGGTCCGCATAGTGAACCTCAACGACCCTCAGGGTAGGTTGAGGGTCGGAAGGTTGGAACCTCCCCTCTTGAGGGGAGGTTCGAGGGTCCGGGGTAGGGACCCATGCGGAGGGTCGTAGCCAGGTCTATGGACGATGTTGTTGCCCTGCTAGTTGGTTGTTGTGGTTCGCATTGCATGAGGATCCTGTGGCAATCGAAAGAGCTTCACTCAGCCTTCAGGATCATCCTGGAAGTGTCACTTCTGCACTCTTCAACAACCTTGGGCAATGGGGATCAACTGTTGAGTCTGCCAGCCTAAGAAGAGAGTCAAGAGACGTACGAAATGGTTGGTTCGAAGAACAGAGACAGGAAGATGGAGAGGGAGGGGATAAAGCTGGCATGCTGTCTACACTTTGCGCTAGGGCGAATGATGAGTCTGTAAGAGATGTACAGGTTCGGGCGTACGGCCTGTCTGTAAGAAGTACTGACTCCATACAAGGTCAATACAAATCCTCCTACTTAAGTACAATACGAAGCACTTTGCGAAGTGGTGCTTTACATCTGTATGCTTGTAAGTTTTTATGTCAGACATAGGACGCGAGGGAGGCAAAGCTTCACAGAAGATGACGGTCCGACTCGACGAAGAGAACTAAGATGAAGACTATGGAGATCTATGGAGAGAGCCCCTCTTATAGTACAGAGTACGCAAAGTATGCAAACGCGCAAGCGCATGAAAAGCAAGCCTGCTGATGGTAGTAAATAGCAAACCATCACAAAGGAATGCAAAAGAGGCAATTCGTTGATTTGGGAAAAGGGGGCTGAAGGACATGGTGCCAGGACATGGGCCTGCAGATTTACATGAGAAGATCAGAAACAGGATAAATCCCCTCCATACTAGCCCGAGTGGCAGCCTTCTGTTCATCGCTATGATCATCAAAGAACGGCTGCGACATCACCAAGTCAAAAAAGTCCTGTTTGAATTCATTCACACCAATGGCCCAGGAGGAATAACCCTGATCTGTCACGCGAGCGCTACAATACGAAGTCGCCTCCGCAGCCAGAAGCTGAGGCGCAGTGGCTCCAGCAGGAGCGGGTCGGTGTGAGATCAAGACCCGACGACTCTGAACATTGTCCTCATCGCTGGCAGCGATATCCTAGTCACGAATTAGCGTACCGCTCCCGAAACGACAGCGACTCGATAACGTACAGCCGGGATCTTGCTACTCGTGGCCAGATGAAATTGCTTCCGGTGGTTACCCAACAGAGCATTAAAGGCGGCGAGCAGGTTGCGAACCAGCACCACCAGAGAAACCATGCTTTCAGGCGAGATCACAGCATCAGAATGATCGGCCTCTTTGAAATGACTGGACACGAATTCCAAGATGGCTTGAAGACGGACCGCTTCGCCAAAGATACCCTCATGTACCTAGAGCAGAACATGGGTTAAACGACAGTGAAACGCGATCCCGCCAGGAAACACATACAGGCTCACATTTCCTGTTGCGCGAGATACATTGCTGACAGCGCGTAGAGGCTGAGCCCACTGCATCGACACACGGGATTGACAGTGGCGAATCGCCGTCCCAGTTAGCAAGGAACATCCGAAAACAGTGCATGCACCAGGTAAGACGACGGGTTGTTGGTGTAGGACTAAGCTTTCTTTGACTCTGGTGTGGGGTCCTGCGATTCGCCAGGGTAAAGCCAGCGCCACCCTGGCAGTCTGAGGTGTCGTCGTTGGAGTCCATACTGCACCGGTGGCAATCCTGGCCGGTGAAAACAACAAGTGATGGGAACCCGCACGTAACACTGAAGGATCGTCAGCTATACGACACCGACATGACGGAGCGACACGATTTCATACCAGAAAGGAGAAGCGAACTCTCACGAGGATACGGAGAGCAGCTAGCGAATCACTGACGCGGCAGAAGCGCGTCAATGATGAAGGGCTGCGAGCTTGAAGAAGAGAGGGGACCAGGTTGCTACGACCGATTCAGGCCACACCACTGAAGCAAACAAACCCTCAGGCGACAAGAGGTTAGAAGGCTGTCCAGCATACCACTCTCAATCGGTACAACCCTGCTATGCTAGCTACCTTTCCGACTGGGCTTTGAACGGGCTATGCACCATGACATATACTGTGGTTGTTTGTTGTAGATGTCGAGACTTCGGATTGTACATTGGGGACATCATGCTCAAGTGTGACCTGAGTGAAAAACTTCACCACTAGGGCGCTGCTCCATCGCTGGGTGCCAGTAATCTCCTGGCTCAGCTTTTGATAGCACGCGAGACTCCGCATGGGAAAGAACATCAGTGCTAACCGGTCAAAGTCAAAGGAGTCATTCCCAACTGCTAGTTCGCATGAACCGAGACATGGCAGGGCGTGGGAAAATGCCCAGGCTCTGGCATCTGGCATCTGGGGTAGAGTGACCGAGGTGGAAGATTCACATCAAAGCTATGACCTGGGCCGTCTTTGCTAAGTTGAAGCTTCCTCGCTCAGACTTGCGCCATTGCAGCAAGGCACAGGACAGGAGCGTTCTTCCTGTTGGAAGCTTGCCCTGGTGACAAGGGAATAGAGATCGGGACCGGAGTCCTATGGTCATCACAGCAGATCTGATGGCTTCCAGCTTGGTACCTGATGGTAATTCTCACAGTTCTTGAACAGCATGAAGCCTGGGAGTGGACGAGCCCCCTGCATCGCATTGAGCCCATGGGCCATTATGGCCTCTCTGCATGCTTGTGGGTTACAGTGGATGAATGACCCTGATCCTGTGAGTGGTCAGTACATCAGACATTTGTTCCTGTGTGTGGACAGCGATTCCGTTTGCAGACAAACCGCAGAGTGTGAACTTCCACAGCAGAGCCAAGAGCCAAGAACCCAAAAGGGGAAAAAAAGTCTGTCGTCATTCTGATCCGACCCCACAGGTAGACTGTTCGCTCCTCCAATTCTCCTCTTCACACACCCCACCATGTCTCGCAATATCTCCTACGGTCGCGGAGGCGCAGGTAAGTGCAGGGAATCAATCCTGAGTCGTTCCGCTAACAATCTCCAGGCAACATCACTCGACAACAAAGCGCCCCCTCCCCAAAGGATCTTGTCACGCCCACCATCAAGCAGGAAGTGTACACCACCGGTCGCGGCGGCTCGGGCAACATGGTCCAGAATAACCTTGACCGACCGGAGCTTGCGCGCGAGAGTCAAGACGTCGAATCACCCCCCTTGCGCGCACAGCAAATCCCCCACCACACCGGCCGAGGTATCAACGATCCCGATCGCGATCCCTCTCCCTTGAACGATCATGGCTAATTTCTGTACAGGCGGCGTCGCCAATGCCTACATCCCCACACCCGAAGAGGAGGAACAAGAGAAGAGAATTCAGGAGCAGGAGGCGGAGCTGATGCGGGTGCGAACTCTCTCGAAGGAACGCGTCAAGGAGATTGAACACGAGCGACAGGAGTTGCGGAGAGACTCGCCTGCTTCATAAGGGGCCACAGGAAGGGCGAGCAGAGAAATCACTGCAGGCAGTGGTCGATCGCGGAGATTTCCTTCCGCCTGAACGGTTTTGGTATTGTGCTTCTTTTCTTTCTTTGTCATCTGGGTCCAGTCGACGCGAATACTGGGGAACGTCGGTGAACGGCGTTGGATACGGGCGGCTCAGTCTCTCATTGCACTTGGCTCTTTGGTTCATTCCCTCGAGAGCTTCTCGAGAGGGAACACACATGTTTTCAATTGAATATACAACACGTCTATGCTAATTATGCCGGTTCATACCTCATTAGATGCAGCGCTCAAATAGAAAAAACTCCCCAAAGCAACCTCATGGAGAAATAAAACACCCTGTCGCGTCCACCGGCCATCCAATAAGCGCCCTCCATTCCGGCGGTACCGAGTCCCCAATCCGCGACAGGATCCGCATCCCCCAATCCCCCATCCACCATGAATCCCGCAGATGATGGAGCACAACCGCATAGTGAGCCAGCACGACCAGCGCGAACGGCTGACGCGCATCCAGGAGGTCCAAGAATCCTGCGGGGATTCGGAAACACCAACAGAACGCGAAGACTTTGGGCTCACCCCCTTTCATCAACCGTTCCAGCGCATTGCTCAGGTGTTCGATCGCCGCCTCGTAGAGGGACTCATCATGCGTCGCATCCTGGACCGCTTCCAGTGCATTTTGGCGACGCAGCGCCAGCACAACTAGCCGAGACATGTCAGGCATCGTGGGTCGAGGGTCTTCAGGCTTGATGAGCGGATTGAGATCGCCAGTAGCGATGCGATCCAGGATGGGTATGATGATGCTGACCAGCCAGCGGGTGAGCTGCAGAACTTCTAGGAATTCCTCCAGGCTGTCCAGTTCGCCATCCTCGTCGATGACACAGTATCCAAACGCAAACGCGATCATGAGACAGCACAGAGCGAATGTCACATTGGGATCTGACTCCTGTTCGAGGGGTGTGGTGGAGAGGGCAGCGAGCGCGTGGGACTGATGGGCACGAGCTGTTTCGAGGTATTGCCATCGGCGAGCGGAAACGGTGGTTGAGGCTAGGTGGAGGGCAGAGAGGGCGAGGAGACCTTGACGGAGGGGTGGATGGCGAAGGGAGAGGGTGGGGATGGTGGTTTGCCAGATTGTTTCAGAGGCAGGATTGCGGGCCATGGTTTTGTAGGTTGCCGTACACCATTGCATCATCAGTTCGAGATCTTGGAGATGGCTCTCTTCGCGCAGGTCGGAGGGATGAATTGAGGGTGAGGCCATGGATGCCGAGGATATGGATGAGGCGCTGGATCTTGAGCGGTGCTTGCTGTCCAGTCGCGTCAGTCGCGGTCGGGGTGGATATTGGCTGAGCATATTGCGATCGAAGCAATGAACGCAGGTCGCGTTTGACTCCTGAAACTACTCACGACGGTTAGCATCTGTGTAGAAAGGTTCCGAGGTAGTGCGTCAGATTGGGTCCGAGTTGCGTTCAAAAGCACCCGTCCCCCAAAGTTCCCGGGTGTCATACTTTGATTCTTCGGCCGGTTTGCATATCGCCGTGGCGTCGCTTCATCGACCGGACGGGGGTTTGCATATTGTTGTCCAACTCGGAGGGAATGACCGCTCAATTTGAATCATTCTGCGGGCCGAACGAGCATCAAGAACAGTAAAAGAAGAAAGCGGGTCATCCGATTATGGTTATTGTTCCAACTCAGCCGATCATCTTAAGTCCAATCATGACTCCACCAGACTCAACTCCCCGAAGCTATGACCGAAGAGAGAAAAAGGGGGGGGAAACAAGAAAAGGGTGGAGCATCAAGGCGTTCATGTCCCAATGCGGTAAATGCACAAGTGGCTCGTGCTGACCGAACCTACTGCGCTGCGCTGCAAGAATCGTCCGGCGGCTCTCCTGACTCGTATCGGTCTAGGGGTTTTTCCGGGTGAAATCCGTCCCGAACTTGGAAACGGCAGACAAAGCCCGAATGCCGTCCTTTTTCCCAAATGGGCCTAGGGCGCCCGTGATGTGCCGAGGCCCTATTTTCCGTTTTGGTTCTGGGCTGATGGTATGTCTGGACATGCCAAGAGATGCCCGGGGGCTTGCATCCTGACGGAATCAAGTCAATGCAGGACTTGGAGATGGTCCACCAGGACATACTTGCTGTGTGTAAGGATCTGCACTGTCCGAGGGATTTCCCCATTGCAACTCTGGGATGCAGGGAACCAACAGGACTTCCCCGAAGGACTCGGGCTCTAGACCGGCGTTCAGCATCGGCTTTTGCACGGTTGATGAGCTCTCGTATGAGTGGACCCCGGGGTTTACGCTGTGCTTGGCATCTGACACGATTGACTCGGGCATGATTGTTTGCCTAACGGCCCAGTTCGAAGAATACGACCGCACAGAAGCAGTATGCGTCTCGTCTTTCCACTTGATGCCATCCTGGAAACAAAGCACACCACACATGACAATTCCAGGCGACATTGGAAGCACTGGCATGGCCAGTAGTCTGAGACCCGCATGACAAAAGGAAACGAACGGAAAAGGAAAAGGCGACTCTGGAGCATTCGAGGATGACCAAACCAAACCAAACACAGATCAGAGAGCAAGTAGCATCGCAGTGATCACCCGGTAGTGCTCGGATGGTCGCATGCGCGTCGCGATCGTTGTGCATAAGTTATAACTCCCTTGAGTTGATGGTGTAGTGACTTTAACCAACAGTGTGGGCTCTTCAACTGCTACATCATACCTGAAAAGCTCTTCTGGTCAATCATCTCGGTAGATGAGAGCTGAATCCCGACCTTTGGTTCACATGTAGGAAGAAAATAGCAGTCTAGCGCTCCTGAAGTCGTAATCAACGCATCACGATCTGCTACCATGATCGCGACACAGTGCCAAGATGGTTCTCAGGTGCTACTCGCGCTTCCCTGTAAACATTCCTGTATATCTTTTTGAAAGCGCGCGCTGGCTGCACGCTACGGTGTCTGCTACAGCTCCTTTCCTTCCTTGCTGAATGGATCTATACTTAGATGCGAGCATGCAAAAAAAAAAAGTCTACAGGTCCGGGTGGTCGGCTTTGTTTCATCCCCTGGCGACAACTGCGGAAATATATAACAGCTTTGCAGTTGTTCCCTCGTAGATTGTCTGCCATTTGGCTTCAGGAGCACTTAAGTACTTAAGTACTCCAGAGCTTTCTACTTAAGCAGCTATCCACTTTAGACTCTTAAGTACTTAATGTCTCCAGTCTACCTGGTGTAGGTGACGTGGTAGATCTATGTTGAGCGGAACTCTCCAGGGCCTTGTTACAACAATTCTTCGCTCAGCACCTACTGCCCAGTGTGTTCCATTTGTGTGCTATGTCTCACCTAGGTGATGCTCTGGCAGAAGGCTGAATCCATCGAAGTTGCTGATCTGTTAGACTTCTCAACTAAAGATGGGAGAACATTTAGAATAACAGGGGAAAAGGGAGAGATCCGGGTGTTCGGGGTTGACCTAAGGCGTTGATGTCCAAGGCGACTCAGTGCTTGGGATGATACAGTGCTTGGGATAGGACAGCTGGGCCAGTGCTTAGGACGATACAGTGTCTAGGATAATTGTCGGAAGCCAGAAAGAAGATCCCATAGTTTGCATAGTTTGCATTTGTGTAAACTTACAAAGATAGTCACATGATCACTGCCTAATACATAAGGGGTATCTGTATGTGCGTTCTTCTACACAGTATCATCAAGCTGTTGCTACAGAATTCTGTTCCTCGTCTTGTAGATGCTTTCTTGCCCTGTGTCTTATCAACTACTTATGACGCACAAAGTAACAAGCATGATGTGCTAGATGTTTTTGGATTTTTGCAGCTGTACTACAATAGGAATTATCATTCGTTAAGACACGGAAAGGAGGTAGATTTCTCGAAATGTCAAGTAGTCTGTCTCCCTTAAACGCGGAGATCCCAACGACCTCCGCTCAGCCCCGTGGCTGAGCCATGAGATAGCACGACGCGTTTACCACTCCGAGACACCAAAGTGCCCTTGGTACCCGGCAAGGATACACTTCCAGTGGTGTTCAGAGGGGCGACGAAAGAAAATTGAACGAAACTCCCACCAGATTTGCGGAATTTCGTCGAGAAATTTCCAAGTGTGGTTGAAAAGCCCGCATCGACAGAGGTAAGGTTCCCTGGCTGTGGTGCAAGCCTCCACGTTGAGCCACCAGCTCCAGTGAGTTGGATGCCTGCCGCATATGCCGTCAGCGCATAGGTCGGACCCGTGGACCATCCATGCGCATGAGATACACGAGGGTCGTTGGCATAAGGCGCGTAATGCAGAGACCCATCTGTGGAATAGCCCTCAATGAAAGTCGACTGGGTCATTCGGGGATCGTTCAACATGAAACCCCACTGCAGACGGATCAAGTCCAAAGCCGAGTTGGGTTGATTGGCGAGGAAGTGTGCTTGAAGCTCAAAGCCACCGATGAATGGGGATACGGTTTTACCAGCCTCTGGGGCGGGTGCTCCGTACGTGCCCCATCGTGCCTTCAGGGCGTTGGACACAATGGTGCTTTGTCTCGTTGAATTTGTCAGGTTTGCTTTGATAGCCCATGCGTTCCCATCCTGGGGGTGAAGAGTTGTTGTCTGATTGTCGACGTAAAGTCCGTTCTTGTCGTCCCATAGCTTTTCATTGGCGGCAATCTTGATATTGCCTGCGATGTGCTTCCATCGCGCAGCGGACGATGTGTCCTGGAGCTCGCTTGCAAGTATTTGAGCATCTTGAAGAACATAATACAAAATGGCGTTGGCTTCAATGTTCTGTATCGCTGGTCAGAATATGTTTCACGTTCAAGGTTGAGGGATTTCTGCACATACGTGGCCTCCCATTCCAAAACGCAACCAGTCGCTGCTAGCAGTGATATTGGCTAGACCAGTGCTGTCCACGCTCGAGACAGCCCACTGTACGCCTCGCTTATACTGAGACCAGTGTTGCGAAAGCCATTCCTTGTCACCCGAGAAGCGATACAGATACGAAGCACCAACCAGGCTGTGCAGGTGATAAGTGTAGCTCGTGAGATCTAGGAATGGCTTCCCAGCGTAGGGAAGCTGGCCATTGGCTTTTTGCAGGACAAATAGAGACTCCAGGGCGGTTCGAACACTGTACAAGTCGCCAGTACTGACAGCAATGGCCTCTAGAGCAATCGACATGTCACCAGGCCAGACCAGACGATCACGCTTTGCGCCGTCAGTAATTGTGCTGCTGCCATTGGTAATCGTGTAGTTGTTCCACCAGGTGGCGGTGTCCGGCAATTCGATTTCCTTTGAGCTGTCATCCGACAAATGCACAAGCGAATTGCCATGCTTCGGGTTAATCGTGCAGATTTGGTTGGTGTACGCACCCGCATACCAGATCTTGTTGATCAATTCATCGTCCGAATGGAAGTAACCAGTGTAAGCACGGAGGTCTTGATCAGGGGCAGCAGTGTAGTTGACCCGAACACCACGGATCTGAACAGTGGCAGTCGTGTTGCTCACTACCGTGAGATATCTAAATCCACCGCGAATGTGCTTCTCTTCAGGTGTGTATTTCCCTGCCCCCTTACCCACTGGGAACCACAGAGGCATATCCAGACCAGTGTCTCCAGTGGCATCGCTGGCTTGTTCGTTGATCCACAAGCTTGATTCTGAGAAGGTGACTCCCAAGAAAGCAGAGGAAGAGGAAGCACTTCCGACATCCAAGGAGACTAAGCCAGCAACATTGATTCCAAAATCATATGTGACGGAGGAAACTCCGTGGAAAGTGGCATTCCCTGAAGAGCGAGTCAGGGAGACGGCGTTGGTCACTGAGCCATTCACGTTGTGAACGGAGGCTGGAACTAAATTTCTCGTCTTCGGGGCTAAGATGTACTGCTCGTACGGCACCGAAGACGCGGCAACCGCAAGCGGCCCAAGAAGCAGGGTAGCAAGATGCATGGTTGTTTGAAAATCCCAATACCTCCGTAGTCGGTAAAACCACTCGGAGAAAGGCCCGGTACTTATAATTCAGCACTCGAAAGGTTCACGCCTTCAGAATGATGAGCTCACATAGAAGGCTGGGGGAAACTCACTCTCGGTCCAATGAGGACCGAAGGGCGACTGGAAGACGCAAGGGCCTGAAGGAAATCTTGCTGGCCTCCGCATTTCATCTCGGTTGATCAACCTGCCGATGTCCCGATTGTGACGAAAGTGTGGGGTTGGGCTGCAAGTTTGCGGGGAAATAACCCTAGTTTTAGCTTCTCCCGGCAAAACTTCGCATAAACGACGGCTATTTCTGCGGATCTGGTACTCGAAACGGCTAATAGAATTTTACAAGGTTGGATAGGGTGTTTCATACGGTCAGGCAGTGCATCAATACTGGGAGATTGTCAGTCCACTTGCATATTACCGAGGTCAATGTTATTTGCGTTGGTGTAGGAGAGAGCCTGATGCCTAGATGTTGAATTGGGTATGTCTGGTTATCTGATCTCGGGTGTATCAATACACAGGCAATACAGGATTGTAGAACAAATTGATGATCCATGAGATTGCGTCTTTGGGAATACGCTCCCGGCTTATCCGAAGAACTGCCCACCAGCCAGAGCAACCCATGGCAGCTTTCTCTCCCAACAGTGCTGCATCAGTTGGCGGGCATTTTGAATCTGCTCGAAGTCAGTACCATACCCATGATGAACAAAAGGCACCACCTACCTGCTTCATGCCCGAACGTTCTAACACAATGAACCGATCCAGGAGCTTAGACCGCTGGATTGGATCTCTCGACTCACACCCTGCTGTGAAGAGAGGGAAAAGTGAGCAGACCTCAGTGGCTGCACCGGGGCGCATACGGCCAAGGGCATCAACTAGTTTGCGTAGGACTTCTTTCACGGGGAAAGAATCTGGTGGTGAGCCCAAGACACGCCGATGAAGATGCAACAAACCAGCGAATCGGAATGCTTCTTCGATGGCCATCATATCTGAAGATTCAATGCCTTGGTGGTGATCAGGGTTGGCGTGAGCACGTTCGCTGAGCCCGTCAATTTCACCAAGCACAGACTGAGCTTCCAGCACCATGTCTGCAGAGGCATGCCAGTCGTGTTGGAAGTGACCCATCTCATCAAACCGTTGATTATCGCATTTCTGAACCAGGCTCGCAAGGCGAATCAAAAAGACCCCAGTTCGAGGTGAAAAGCCTGTGAAGCAATCAACTGCATACTCATCGTGACCTTCGGAAGAAGAGCAGGCAGCCAGAATAGAACTGTAGATTGTTAAAGGGGGGCCAGCATGGCGACATGACAAAGATCCCATGGTGTCCAGGTAGCCTAGCCAGCGGGAGAAGAATGCGCCAATGCGATTTCCTGGCTGTGCCATGTATTCGCTCCGTGCAAGAAACAGATCCCTGGCAAGCTTGAGATGACTCTTCCAGGTGATTGGTGCCTCGAAAGTACCTGGAGACACAATCTTCAATGAAAGAAGCATCAGAGCCGTAGCCAGGTGGCTATCTGTGATGTTTTCATGGGATGATTCCAACGCGATACGCAGGGTCGGAAACACCTGGCTGACCCAATGGGCAATACGATTGGCTGGTTCTGGATGACCAAGGTATCGAGCGCGATGGCTGGCTGAATACGCAAGCAGCAAGTTCAACAGATTGGAATCACCAATTGCCACTTCGTAGTCAGTATGGAACCAGTCCTTCTTCAAGAGAACATGACTTACTTGACGGTAAAACTGAGATAAATGGATTGTTGTCACAGTTGTGGGGAACCAGCATTCGCGCGGTGTGATTCAGGAAATGATGGAAATACATCAAGTTGATGGGATTCTCCAGAAGGGAAGATGGCAGTGGAGACAGATACCTTGGGATATTGATTGGCACCGGGGACGCATAGTAGCCACTGCAGAACTGGACTTGGGCCTGAGCCTCGGGAACCGATTGCGAAACTGTGGACTGCGATGCATCCTGACTGCGCCCCCGAGAGCTGATCAGATCTAAAGCATAATTGATGTCTATTGCCGCATGGTCGTTGTTGAAGGAAAGGTCCTGATCAGAACGTCCAGAGTCCAGGCCATAATTGTCTGTGACGCTGTTGAGGTAAGTCTGCCATTTGTTCTCGGCCAGAGAAAATTCTTGTGGTGTCTCGTCGGTTGGCTGAATACTGTCAGGTATTGTTCGATGGTTACCAGCCAAATCGATGGAATACTCATGTGTGGACTCCATGGCTGTCGGTGTCGCATTGAGTCCTGGAGAAGGCGCCGCATTGCTTTGCTCCACTGACATCCTGTGTGCCCCGAAAAGCAGAGAATGCAGTGCATCGACATCATCAGGGCTACCAGAATCCCCGGCTTTGTTTGACAGCGAGTCCAAGTTGAGATGGGAATGATTTCCTTCATGCGACGAGTGAGTAATGTGTTCCTTGTCATGGGCATGGAGCACGGTCGAGTCCGGGTGGCCGTGAGAACCATCCACAGAGTGTCGCATGAAGGAAACAGGTTGAGACACTGGATTTGCGTGGAATGCAAATGCTGAGAGTGATCGGAGGCCAAGTCCCTGTTCTATCCCAGTCGGAAACGTGTTATCAAAGGTGTGTTGCCCAAGCTGAAATTGTGTTAAAGTCCCAGAGGAAGAGGTCATAGAGGGAGGAGACTGCTCGCCCCAGGTCGTTGAGAATCCAGCCTCAAACTGACTCGGTGAGGAGATTCCTTCAGGATCAGGTCGTGGAGAGTCGAATGGCCTTGCTGGGGCGGGCGTAGTTGGTGATATCGCCCCAGGAGATGCTATATCCCCGGGTCGAGGGGGTACACCATCCGCTGAATTGCTCATTGGTGTTGGGAATGAGGTTGGACTCGCAGTGTTGATTGAAAAAGACCCAGAGAGGCCGATCATGCCGCTTCCACCCCCATAGCCACTAGACTGTGAGCCGGGTGAGTCAACCGACGCACGCTTCGTTCTCCCTCCCCAATTCAACCGCACACTATAATCACATAGCTCACCCTGTCGTTCGCAATTGAGACAAGCGGGCTTCTCTTCCCCGCTGAGATGTGGCGTCAGCGTTCTATTTTGAGGGACCGAGAATGAACATATCCTACCATTTCACTTTTCGCGCTTTGCATGGCCTGTATCGGTCAGCCTGGAAAGGGGTGATTTCAACGAAACTTCGACTCACCAACATCCTTTACGACTTCGACGCTTTGGTTCTGGCGCACCGGGTCTTCTAGGGCGAGGCATTGCACGTCCCCGCAAGTCTAATCAGGCCTCAATGTCTGAGGACACACGCAGAGCGAGTTTGGAAGACTGGAACCAGCCAAGAATCACAATTTGCTATCTTGCCATACAGATTCTTCTGCGGTCTAAAGCGCCGTCCAATTGACTCACGCCCCAAACACTTCACAGTTGACGCGCTTTCTGCGCTTCGAGCCTTTTTGACCCCACGTAGCAATAAAGCGATAATCGACCAAGCACCCACACCTAGTATACAAGCACATCGAGGTGTGGGAGGGAGATGTGCCAAGGGAGTGTATGAATTCCACTGCTCTGCAGCTTTGTTCCAATCACGACACACAATGTCAAGTTGTGCCAATCACGAGGATGTGCAGAGTCCGTGTTACTCGTCAATGAGCCTGACCGGGATCACAGTGAAGAGAAGTCAAGAATTTCCTAGGAATGTTTCTGGAAGGCCCAGAGTGTGGGGAAGAGAGATAAGGACCATGTGTCAGCCGCATTATCAATAGTCCGTTACCCCAGACCGGCATGCCGCGGATTGCCGGAATTTCCCGCGGCAAGCCGACTTCGCCCGAGGGTCACGTGTGTCCAACGTCATTGCTCGGTGACCCCGGATGCGCTTTATTGGCCGTGGAAGCCGCGCTGGGAGTTCATGAGTTCCCATCCATTGGAGCGCTTCGGTACACTCTCAATATGGCGGATTCGTTGATCCATAGGCACCCGCTTCAGCGACTGCCGAGTCCCTCTCGTGGCATCTCCGCACTGGTGCATGTAAGTACCGTGGTTTCTCGTGCAGTTGCCCCTTCCAGCCGTTGACGGATCGCGTTCCAGTTGGTGGGATTGTCATGCTTTTTCTGGGCCTTCAAATAGTATGGATTCTCTCCCGGTTTGCCTAAACGGGTTACTGACAAGCCTGAAGCATGCACGAGAACCCGAATCAAGCGTAAAGACCCCTCTCTAGGGAGATAATGGCGATAATCACTGACATGAGCCATACAGAAATCAAGCATATGGGTGGCACTTTCAATACCTCACCGTGATTGGTCTGACACTGTCTACACTCACCTTCTTCGTTGGGCTACTGGCAGACATCACACTATCCCGCCGACTCTTCCTAGTCAAAAACATACTGTCAATATGCAGCGCACCGCTCGAGGTTCTGATCAGTGTTTTGTACTGGGGTCTTCGTTCGGTACGGATTCGATACCGAGCACACATCGTTCGTGCTAACCTGGTATCTAGGTTGATGAGCGACTGGTCATCCCCGAATGGGTGGTCATTCCGCTTCATGCCGGTACGCTCCAACATAAGAGCCTTCTCGCACTACGATGCTAACTTCGTTCTAGACCTCAGCTTCCATGCTACTCCGTCGATTGTAATGCTGATTGATCTCCTGTTTTTGTCTCCACCATGGACAATCACAGTGCTCCCTGCTCTGATGGTATCGGGAACCATTGCCTTTGGGTACTGGTTCTGGATTGAGCAGTGCTTCGCTGTGAACGGATGGTAGGCTGACTTCATCTGGGTTCATTGCCGTCGTTGACTTGTGTTTAGGTATCCGTATCCCATTTTTGAGGCCCTTCCCACCGAAGGCCGCATTGGTCTCTTCACCTTGAGTGCAGTTGTCATGGCACTGAGCACCATCACACTCAAGTGGCTCTTTGGGCGAGTCAATGGCTTTGGTCTTCCCGCGGGGCCAGAGTCTCGACCCGGCGATATTCGACGCAAGGAAGGCCTATAGATGTCGGCTTCCCGAGGTTGCAAACATTGCCCTTGCATACTAAGTAGACCCAGGCGTCGCTTTCCGGTCCCTGGGTCATTCGGCTCTGAAATGTACGATTGTAGAAGCCTCGCCGCTGTACATGCATTTAAGTCCTTCGAAGGCTATCGATTGAAAAGAGCTGTGTTATTGATTGGTTGGGGAGGAGAGAACTAGAAGAGACTAGACTATCTACAGAAGTGGGAGTACACATGCAACCACATGGGTGCACAACTTTACAAATTTGGCTACAGACTTGTCCCAAGGGAGATCTTTAGAAGCAGATAGTGATTCAGGATTTTCGTGTCTTCGGGTGTCCCAGGCCGTCATACTTAAGTAGTGGGTAGAGTCCAGCATTCGGCAACTTCGGCATGAGACTTTGGGAGAGCGTTTGGCTCGCAGCTCTGGAGCTGTAGAGGGAGTGGTGTATTCTGACTTAGTCTGCTTGAGCATATATATATGCCCAGTCCTGGTGTATTGGGAATGACAGTTACTTAATACAGCGGCAAACGTCCTCCTGGGCAACAACTGCCCAGTGTGGACACACACTGACGTGAGCTCTAGGGATTCCACCTTCTAATTAAGTACAAGGCTCGCCTGCTCTTGAATAGAAGCCATGCACCTGGCAGCGATGGAAGAAGAATGTACGTTGTGTGCTGAAGGCTTGTGGATGGATGACCTACACATCCCTTATGATCTCCCAGGAGATCTCCACTGTGAATTCTGCAAGCATACTAGGGACCTACGTAGATGCTGTGTTGAAGTCCAGAATTGGAGTTGTCGTCCAAGTGCTGGATATCTGGAGCTGTGCAGAGTCGAAAGTGCATTACGTAATCACTCCACTCCTTGGAATTTGGACTGCGAACGTTTGAAAGTCAATTGCAACCACCTGGACATCTCATCTCTATCATGCATGCCCATTCAGTGAACATGTCTGCTCGCACAGCCATGTCCCTTGGCCGACTCAACGTCACTGCGCCCTCCCTCGGCGCGCTTCGTCCCATCCAACACACTCAGATGACGTCCAAGCAGCTCACACGCCTCGGTTCCACGGCAGCCCGGACATCGAGCCTCGTCAGTCAGGATACACATCGCCCTCAGTCTCCGGCCTCCTTTCTCCCTACCGGCCTCCGAGCACAGTCCACCGCGGCGCCTGCCGATGAAGTGAAGCTGGATTGGAATTCCTTCTTCAAGCTTCGCGCCTCGCGCCGTCGCTACTCTCTCGCCTCCTCGATCGCCACTTCCCTCGCCAGTACCACTGCCGGAGTCCAGATCATCTCCGGTCAGGACCTCGAGGCCCTGGGTGGCGCAGTGATGGGCCTGGATCCGTTCGTGGTGCTCGGCCTGGCCACAGCAGCATGCGGCGCTGCTGGATGGTTGGCTGGCCCTGTGATTGGCAACGGGGTCTGGGGCTTGGTTTACAGGAAGTTCAAGCCCTCCGTGAACACAGTAAGTCTTGCAAATCGAAAACCCTGCTGGCGTTGATCGTCCTGATACTAATCTTTCAATTCTGCAGAAAGAGAAGGAGTTCTTTGATCGCATTCGCCGTTTCCGTGTGGACCCGTCCACCAACTCGATTGCCAACCCCGTCCCCGATTACTACGGCGAGAAGATTGGCAGTGTGCAAGGATACCGACAGTGGCTGAAGGACCAGCGTGCCTACAACCGGAAGCGCCGCAACTTCATCGCCTAGGATCCTTTCTCTGTGAGACGGGAGCAATTTCTTTCTTATCTGTGTCAATACAATTGAGCCGTGGAGCCCATCAACCACTCCGGGACCTTTCTTTCTTCTCCGGGTCGGTGTTTTATTTTGTTACAATATCATGAGCGGTTTTGGTAGCAGGGGCATTGCAATATATTCGGAATGACCTTCCACCACCCCATTGGGTTCCAATCTCGATCGAACTACAACATCCCTAGACACAATTCCCCGGTTTCAGACGCAGAGGTGGATCTCGATTTGGAGGTTCAGAACCCTTGAGGACTGCAACAGCGTAAAAGTTACATCAGAACCCCACAATCGCCAGCGCAAAATCCCATGGGGGATCTATGGCGGTGGCTCATGTTCAGAGCCCCCAAGTCGCGGTTTGTAGACGCGTGCTGGGAATTGCAGCTTGACGCGTCGACGCAGTGGGACCACCGGAAGCGTTTTTGAAACTCCCGTCCGAGTGTGCATTACCAGCTGCAGTGGGCCGAGTTCTCTATGGACCCCCAGTGGAGATTTGCGGAGCAATCACCCGGTCTCTCCAGCTCCCAGCCCCCGTGGCGATCTGACACTTCCAAGGGACTGTGACTTCCGACGCACTGTGGAATCGAGCAATCCAGCATATGGAGTGGAATCCATAAGTATGCACTATTGAATGCATACTCTATATCAGAAATTGGAAATTGAAAATACGGAATGCGGTACAGAAGGGTTTTTGACGCGACGGGCGATTACTTTTTCCACGAGATGCATCATATTGCTAGAAACTCGACTCGTTCTCTTGGGTGATTTTTTTCAAATTTTCTTTTCTCTCCTGTGTCTTATATATCTGCTCTTCGCAATTCTTGGATTTACATTCCTTCACACTGATTTCTGTTCTCTGTTCTCCATTCTCCATTCTCCATTTTCTTTTCTCTGCCTTTTTCTTGCAATCTTCTCTTCTGTACGCCTGTACCTCCCTCAGACATGCCCTCCTCTCGCTCAAGGGGCTCAAAGCAATACCTCCGAGATCGATCAGAGGCTGCCATTACTCTGATTACAACAGGTCTCACTCTGAATCCCAGGGACCCCCCACGAACACCGGGGAACCCCTGGCCACTCAGTGTTCGCCCGTCACACGAAGTCCAAAACCTCTTGTCAAAACAGCACGACGATGAGTTCCGGGGGGACTTCAATGCAAGAGGTTTCCCACGGCCCAAGTTGATCTCTAGGCGAGAAAGTAGCCAATTGCTAGCACTGCGCCCAAATATAAAGAAGATTGACTGGAGGCATGGGGATTCCATTCCGCCATACAAACACATCGGCAATCGAGCAAGAGCTTGCCAGGGTCAATTGTGCGGGATCACGCTGGCTACCAGCGACAGCTGCAAGGCGTGTCAAGACCAGAAGGGTCCTTTCAGCTCATGTCGAGTTGTGTATTACCCCACGGGAAAATTCGCGTTCGAGGGTGCCTGCGCGGGGTGTGCATTCGGCGAAAAGGCTGCCAAATGCTCGCTGAGAATAGACCGGTTCAACACTCCCGGTCCATCGGAGAACTTCCTGGGGATGAGACAGATTCTCTGTCCAGGAATTATCCCCTCCTATACATTCTCGACACCGCCCCACCAGCCACGAACACCACGTACGCAGACACCATTCGCAGTGGTGGTACCGCGGCGTGAAGAGGACTTTTCGGTATCTCCTATGCCGGCCTCTCCTACGCCAGTGCGTCAAAGGCATCAGCAGACGCCAGCGCGCTCCGCCACCCGCAATCCGAGTCGGTCCGAAAGGGCCCAGACACCAGCCCGCTCTACGACTCGGAATCCCAGTCGGTCCGAAAGGATAGAGACACCAGCCCGCTCTGCCACTCGGAATCCAAGTCGACAGCAGAGGGCACAGACACCGGGGCCCTATGCCCACAACCCCAGTCGGCCCGAAAGGCCGCAGACGCCGGGGCCCCGTGCCCGAAGCTCCAGTCGGCCCGAAAGGGCACAGACCCCAGGACCACAAACGATGCCATCGTCGCCTCCTGCAGTCTCTAGACACCAGAGACAAACCCGAGGCCCCACTCCTGGCTCGACGAGAAACCTGGAACAGGAAGTGTCGTCTCCGATCATCATCTCAAGTCCTGAGATGGGACCATCGCCTGCTCCTAAACGGCAAGCCAGGCAGCGAAAGCGGGCCAAGCAGAAACGCACCGCATCTGCCTCTACTCTGCAAGAGAGAGCACCGGTGCAATCATCTGTCAACATCGCATCGACCCCTGCTGCAAGATCCTCTTCCGGCTCCATCTGGCAAGCAAGGGAACCTTTACAATACTCTTCCAACATCGCATCAACCCCTGGTGCAAGATCATTGTCTGGGTCCATCTGGCAAGAGAGATCAGAGAGACGCACTGCCTCCTGCAATGAGTGGCTGAGGAGATTGGCGCCGTCATCATCTCCTGTGCCACACGAGCGAGGTAGGGCGCAGACACCTTTTTCGCTTACCACAAGGGGACCGGCTTATTTCACAGACGAGGCTCGGGCAAATGTTTATGTTCTCGAAACCACGAAAACGGTGAGAGTTGTCCCGCAAAGTGCAAGTCGAACAATGGCTCGGGGGCATCAAGATTGGGTTGATCAAATGGAGAGTCGTGGAACCATCATTCACAATGAGACGGACCGCAATCGGTTTTTCTCCTAGTCGATGTTTTAACGAAAGTAATGATTTTTTTCCGAAACTTCTCGCAACTACTCGCCCCCCTTGGGCATCTCCTTATTTTTTTGTCATGTTCATCTCTTGTTTTCATTCAAGCTCATTGCGGTCTACTTCAATTACTGTATATAAAAAAGATTATGGTATTGTCATTCATTGATTTTCTCCTTTCTATTTCTATATCTCTTCGCTTACATCTCACTGCGACCGCTCAGGCAAACGCAGGCTTCTTCCACTCAGCAGGCACATCTAACAATGGTTCACTCAGCGAGATCCAATCCTTTGCCGTGAAGATCATGTTCTTATCAAGAGTGACTCGGCCTTTTTCAATGTGGTCCAACCACCAACCTGCAAGGGCTGCAGCTTGACGTAAGAATTTTGCTGGGGATTTCTCTACCTCCTCAATCTTGATGGGCAAGGAGATGCATCGTCTTCCACGACAATGCTGGGCGACAGTATCGATAGTAACACCCGGAAACCGCTCGTTTGCTAGAAAGTTAGCGATCGTTCGTTTTACATAGTCCATGATCTGTGCATCCGTTGTCTTTCTTCCCACTAGGGTGTCAGGGAGCTTGACTGTGATCCATTTACAGTCGTCCATGTTGCTTCGATCGGCGAAGTGGCGAGATCCGCTCTTGAATACACTGGGTTGTCCGAAGTAGAAGGATTCGTAAGGCATGATTTCGGCTGATTGGGTTCTTTGTTTGGTTCTTGTAAAGTTGGGTGTATAGGTGAGTGTCTGTGTTGGGGGCATCTGCCTTTTTATACTTGATATGGAGAGAGAGGGCAGGCTGCTCGAGGCAAAGGAAACTCAATGGCTTTGTTCCGTCCTTTGAACGAAGTAAATACAAAGGATTTATTTATAAGGTGTGGTATTGTACTAGGCATTGTTCATTGATGTCGCTTTGGGGAGATTGATTCGTTCAGCCGTCCGAATTGGAAACAAAACACTTACAAGATGCGTCGACCAACATTGGAATATCCTTTGACTGCAATACACATGGGCAGTGCTTTCGCCGAGAAAACAATTCATTCAAACCTATTCCTCGACCGGTGGCTCACGAGCTCTCAACAGCGTGGCATCGAGCCCGACCGCGACGGTAATTCTAAAGTTCTACTGGCCAAGAGGCATGTTCACACAGTGCGAGTGTTACAATGATGAAAGCATTACATTTCCAGACTAGGGATACCCGATGAACGATGCGTTTTCGGATGATCGTTTCCCAGGCTTCATTAAACATGTCTGGGATCAGTGAGAGTCCTACCGCAGTACCAGTGGACCAGACTGAACATGCTTTAGGCTTGTCTTTGCCTTGAAAAGGTCTTGAAAGATCGCCTCTATTTCAAATCTAGCACTTTTGACCACCAAATCCGCAATTCCATGAGCTCGAGCTTCGATAACGTCATTCATATTCTGGGGTTCTGGTGATTCAATGGAAGCCAAAACAGATGTAGTGCTCCCACCCGATGGTAATTCCGGTGCTTCTGTTCTACGGCGTTTTGTCATAGGCCCTGGCTGCAAGAATGATCGCTGAGATGGCATGTCTGTCGCAGCCTGTCATTTAGTCAGTTGAAACGCTAGAATCTCCACTTAGACCCATTGTGAATCAGGTTTAAACAATTCTTTTAAATTGGCTTTAGGTACCGAAGCATCAGCGTTCGATGTAGGTGATAAATGGGTAGGGAATTCATGATGGGTGCTGACATGCAGCCTTGTAGAGTAGGTCTACGAAGCTATAAACATGTGGATCTCGGTTTAACTTCACTGAGTAAGAGATCTGGAGGTCTTCGTAATTTAACATTCATTCTCTAAACGAAAAACATGACTAAATTCAAGATGCAAAGACTTAAACAACATTCAAACCATCGTGCTTGCTACTGTCATGCGTCAGAAGTACTACTATCCAGGGTTGAAAGTGTCATCTCGAGGAAATGTATGCTACAAACTAGTGATGCCCAAGACATGAGCTCCAGGGCTCACTCGACAGCTTACCTACGCGGAGTAAGTTCACCATCCGAGTGCACATCGCTGTCTGTGGCCGATGAGCTCTGGACACTGGAACTCCGGCTCCGGGCAGTTGATGCAGTCTGCGAGAATGTGGAGAAAGAGCCCCGTTGGCTCGAATAACGTGATGAATCATCGCCAGAGACAGTGCAACAGTCCGAAGAGGTAATGTTCACTCGCCCTGGTGCAGTGCGGCGAGGCATATATCCACGAGACATTGGGGATCTCGACGCATAGCTTCCAGTGCCTGGAGATGCGCATTCTGGGTTATAATGAATCAAGCTATCACGATCAAAACCCCGAGAGATCGAGGATGTTCGGGATGATATAGACGGAGTAAACAATGTTTCATGTCCATATGCATTTGTCCACACCGGAGGGTCGACTGCCACCGATTGATCCTCTCTCAATTGAGAAACTGAAACCCTGGCGCGCCGGGCAATAATCGCACGCGCTTTAATGTGATGCAGAATCAGAATCTCGCCGACTATATCATCATGATTATCCTCTGTCCAGACAGTTAGCCCCAGGTCCACGGCTACTCGAGACGCGCGAAAGACATAGCCGTGGCCCAGATATTGGGTGTCGATTTCAAGGATCTGGGCCCAACCTCCAAGAGTACGCCAGTTCCGACACATCCATTCCTCTGCCTGATTTTTTTCGGAAAAGCAGGAGATGAGCGGGCTGTCGAAGTCGTCGCCGACCAGATGTGCCTCGAGGGTTTGCGCAAAGGCGTCATCGCTGTAGTCGAAGTGGCTCAAGTTGCTGGCTGTCAGTCCGAACTCTGTCTCCTGTGTGTGTGCGTCTTCATACTGTACTCTGTACAGACGACGAGGGATCAAGGTTCGGGGGAGCGTGTGGTGCTCCATTGACACTGGTCAGATTATTGGTGTGTCTGGGTACCAAGTAAACACTTCAGAATAAGCTGGTGAAGATATATGTATAGGCCTTGACAGGAGCGCTTGAGAGTGTTGTGCTGGGAAAGTAGGAGTCTCCAATTCTGAGGTTTGAGATGCTGTGAAGAGAGTAGCAGGAATGCCCGATACCCTTTATATATCATGGATCTTGAAGTCGCAGAGACCTGTCAAACAACCGCTGAGACATTATCGGACATGTCTTGCCGATGAATTGACGACCATCTTTATGAAAGAATAATCAAATGATGTTCCAGGGCAAAAAAGGAAGAAAGAATTGTTGAGGCTACTGGACCAAGAAGAGACACAAGAGGCAATCCTTTCAGGGGGCAGAAGAGGTTGCAGAAGACACCCTTGAAGGCCAGACACTGGGGCTTTGACTACCTAAAACCATCCCAACCCTCAACAAGACTGCTCGGGTAGGAGTTCCTAGAGGACGATAGCTTCAACAATGAAGACACATCATACCTTTGTCTATAATATGCATTTTGCATGGAACATTCGCGAACGATAAGATGCGAAAATTCCGCTGATACAACAGTCTGAAGCCCTGGACACTCAAAGAACATTAAATTTTATTGGTATTATACAAAATTGAGAGTAATGAGTAGTGGAGAAGTCTGAACTTCAAAGAAATGTTCAAAAGCATCAACATGCACTGATGGAGGTAGCCTTCCGGTCACCTGGGCACTTGAGCAATTCAAGCCCTCTTGGTCTTGGCCTTCGAGCCCCTGACACGGAACAGGTAGTAGAGTGAAATAGCAGCAAAGATGTTGAACACAAAGTAGCACCAGAAGATACCATAGTTCCTCCAGCGATCCTCCCAATGGATCTGACGAGCAGCAAGGTACTGGTCAGCCGAGCTGATTGAACAGTATTCACAGTTGGAGGTAGCATTCCAATTGGAAAGCTTACCCGCAGCGGTCTCAAGATACTTGGCCATATACTGGCCGCAGGTTTGACCGGACGGGGGATCGAAGATGCTCATCTCAGCCGCATTGCACTCAACATTGCGGTTGTGGAGTGCAGTTGCGCCAATTCCACCGATGTAGTAGGTGAATGGCGAGACCCGATACATGAAAATCCAGAAGCGAGGAAGATCATCAGGAGGCTGCATGACACCGTTGAAGATAAATGAAAGACCGAACATGAGAGTGGCAAGCATGGCCGCGACAGTGGGCTCGGGAATTGCACAGACAACCAGCTGCGCCATACTGGCAGCGTAGATGTAGAATTGAACAATGAATAGCATGATCAGGGCACGGCGCTCGCCATCTTGCTCGGGGCCAATGACAGACCAGTAGAAACAAGCCCAGGCGCAAACACCAAGAATGACCTGGAAAGGAATTTCCACGAGCATTTGAGACAGGATGAAGACTTTCCAGGAGTAGATCCGGGACGGGCGCTCACGAACTTCGTACAAAGAGCGCTGGACAACGAACTTGGGCATGATTTGGTTGACCAAAGTGTTGAAAATCGTGCACAGAAGGAAGACACTGAAAAGAACGTTTTGGAAACCTTGCTGGGTGCTGTCCGACTTCCAGAAAGAGAAACCGATGAAGAGACCAGAGACAATACCGAGAATGAACTTGGAAAAGATGTATTCTGGCTGCCGGTAGTATTGCTGGAAGACACGGGCGAGAACGTAGTACAGTTGGCTGTGCAGTGGCATGGCAAACTCAGCGTTGTCATCATCGAGCTCCTCAAGAGCAGAGTGGTGAACAGATTCTTTGCGAGCATGAAGTTTTTGCAGCTCAGCCTCGACTTCTTGACATTCAGGACTCTTGTTCCAGACATCAACCCAGTCAACGGAAGATGAATCACCGGCAACCATCTCGAGCATGTATTCTGCAGGATTTTCGAGAGGGGCACAAGGACGAGCACCATTGTGTTCAAAGTAGTTCAGCAGGTGCGATGACCCGGTTCCAATGTCTCCAAAGTAAACAGTCTTTCCACCCTTGGCTAGGAAGAGCAAACGGTCAAAGGTCTGGAACAACTGAGCACTAGGCTGGTGAATCGTCGCGAGAACAGCCTGCCCATGATCGGCCAGCCTTCTGAGGAACTGGCAGATAGTCCAAGAGCTCTGCGAATCCAAACCACTGGTTGGCTCATCGAGGAAAATGAGTAAAGTGGGCTTTGCTGCAAGTTCGACTCCAATGCTAAGCAACTTTCTTTGCTCAACATTCAATCCTTCTCCAAGATTCCCCACCACGGCTTCGGCAAAGTCTTCCATGCCAAGAACCTCGATGACCTGTTCCACGTAGTCGTACTTCTCTTTCTTTGGAACCTTGGCGGGTTGACGAAGCATTGCACTGAAACGCAATGCCTCCCTGACCGTGGTGGTGTCCAAGTGTAGGTCTTGTTGTTGCACATAGCCAGTTCGACGGGGGAAGTTGGGTGCAAGATCCTTGCCGTTCACGAAAATATCACCAGAGACCACTCCGATGGAGACTCTCTGTGCAAGGACATCGAGAAGTGTGGTTTTTCCTGCTCCAGACACACCCATCAATGCTGTCAAGCTGCCTGGTTTCACCCATCCATTGACATTATCGAGAAGTCGTCGAGTACCCTCTTTCACCGGGATGTCATAGTTGAGCGCGTTCCAGGAAAGGATGTCGTTCTGTTCTGGAAGACGGATAGTGTCGCTCGTAGTGTCGTTGGTAGCTTGCAGCTCAAGTTTGTTGACTTCCTCTTCGCCGAGCTCGATGGTATGGCCCTTCTGGAGATACTGGGGTGCATGTCCGGGACGGAATACAAGCGCCTCAGCCTTGGATCTGTCGTTGGTGATGAACTCGGTGGCAACAAGGTAGAGAGCGTTGAGGGCGACAAAGAATGCGATCAGGATTCCATAGTTCCTCCACAAATGCGAGTGACTGTAATGATAATTCTGCTCAATGAAATCGTCACCTGAAACAGTCCGCTGGCCTGCGACTGCACCGACAGTGGAACAAATGAATGATATGCCGGTTCCGTAGCTTGGGATAAACGAAGAGCAATCGAAAGTCCGGCCGTGGAACTCATTGGCAACGAGGGATTCGAAGGTGTAGTATATGGGGTTGATCCAGCGAATCCAGGAAAGCCACGGGTGCATGTATGGTTGCGGCAGTGTGAAACCCGTGTACACCACGATGCACAATACAAGAACACCAGCAATCGCCATAGCTTGCCCAACGCTCTTGGTCAATGCTCCAACGCTGCGGAACAGGCCAGACATTGAGAGGACAGCGGTAAGCAAGAATAGGTAGTGGATAAAGAAGGCACCTGGCTCGCGTCGTAGGTTGGCCATGAAGTAAAGCACAATCGTGAAGACCGAGATTCGTACCAACTTGATTGGTAAATCGACAACCAGGCTGGCTAATGCCTCAGTGAAAGGATGGACAAATGCATAGCCCGCTTGCTTTTCAACCACGGGGCGTTGTGCGTAGAGCATGAGAATTTCGTTGATCGTGAGAAGGGCGTTCATTAGCACAGCGAAGTACATCACTGCACCCTTTTGGAAAAAGTAGCTGGAGGTGTCGGGAGTTTGGTAAAAGATGGATCCAATGATCAGAGAGAGAACGATCTGCACAATGACGGGTGAAAGGGCCGTTGGCAAATCTTGAAGCATGCGCTGGTAGGCTCTTTGCATACAGAGACGCACTTGCATAGGAACAGAAAGAAGGTAAGGGCTGCGAGCTCGAGTGTGGCGAGCCTGCTGCTCTTCGTGGCTGTCCTGGAGTCTCTTTGCGTCGGCCCCGTTTGGAGGATGCTGACTCTCGAAGTCCGAAATCTCCTTGGTGAGCAGTTGGTGCTCAGGGCTTTTCTTCCAGTGTTCAGCGAACTCCTTGGCCGTGCGAGGCACTTTGCCCTCCATACCAGGCAACGCTTGGCGCTCGGCTGGGTTGGTGATGGCCGTCAAAAAGTCACCACTGACTTGGCGCTCGGGTCGCTCCCATCCCATGTCTTGGAAATAGCCTACTGCACGTTCTCTGGGTCCATAGTAGATCTGGTATCCTTCATACAAGAGAACGACCTTGTCGAAAAGATCATACATCGATTGTGATGCCTGGTATGCAGCAATGGCATGGCATGATGAGCCCATGTCCGCCGAGAGACGAAGGGACTTGACAAACTTGAGAGCGGAAGCAGCATCCAGCCCGCGGGTACTGTTGTCCCAGGCTCCGATGCGGCAACGAGCCAGGAACATCTCTGCAATGCTGACTCGCTTCCTCTCGCCTCCACTGACTCCGCGAACAAATTCACTGCCGACCTTGGTGTTGTAGGTGTGTGACAGTCCGAAGATCGAGAGCACGACCTGTGTAATGGTCTTGACGTACTCGTCGCGTGTGACGCCCTCAAGGCGTTGGTGTGGTGCGCGAGCATGGGCCGCAAACTCGAGAGTTTGACCGACGGTCAAATGTGGGAAATGTAAATCGACTTCCTTGTTGTAGGCAACTTCACCTCGGAGATGTTTGATCATGTGGTCGAAACCAACTCCTTCGTAATGGAGTGTACTCTCCGGCTCCAGGGTGAGGCCTCCCAAGTGACCGGTGATGGTTTTCATGAAGGTTGTGCAGCCACTGCCTGGTCGACCGAGGACCAGGAGAAGCTCTCCCCCTTGGAGAAGTCCGTCGAAGCTGTGGAGGATTTGTCTCGGTGGTGTCGAACGGCCTGTCAGCAGGTTGCCGGCGGCTCGGAAGGGAACCCTCAGGCTGGATGTCAGGGTTTCTTGATACTGCAGTGCGGATCCAGAGCCGCTGACACAGAGGTTGGAGAAGACGACTCCTTGATGTGGGACATCGATGCCTGCATCATTGACCTGGTCCAATACCATCTGTGCCCATTGGCGATGGTCGAATTGCGGGTTGGTGGGATCGAGATGCGGCGGGGTTCCATCTTTATGGCTTGCTGCTTTTGAGATCTGTTGGCCCAGCTTGCTCGAAGCAATCTTTGTGAGGGTTTGTTGCTCTCTTTCTTCAATCACGGTGACCGCCCGCCCGATTGGGGCGAACTCGGGGTCTTTCTCCATGATGAGAAAGTGTTAGATGTGTCCACTGAGAGTAACGGAAAAGTGCGAAAGCCATTTTAATGAAGATCGGGGACGGAGCACCACAGTGGAGAGTGCAAGATGTGAATATCGGGACTAACACGTCCCGATGTATAAATCGGTGGACCGGACTCCGCTCTGCCGACGCGGACTTAGGCCCTAAGGGCTTTAAGATGGTCATTCTGTCCCAGGACGAATCACTTGTTGGTGTCTGACAAGGGCCTTCCCTAGCGCGACGTTCTTTTTCTTTAATCTCACCCAATTCCTCCAAATTGAGAGGGCATCTCGAGTGGGTGCGTTCACGCAACTATTTTCATTGTCCTGCCGATCTCATTTCCCCTGACTCCACCCGCATCTGGATCGGACGGCAGGATTTTCTCCGAAATAGACATGGGAGATATCGAGTTGGCAAGGTATCTGACCATACAACAGCCCAAGTCTGGAGCCTTTTCATCCATGGATATGTTGCTATGTTGCGTACTCGTACACGGCGAAGACGGAGTTCCTTTGTTCCGTGTGCAGTCACGTGGATATATCACGTGTAATCTGAGTCATCATCCTTAATCGGTGACATCACTCGATGAATAGCCCTGAAAATGACCTGATCGACAGGTCAACTCTAACCAGAGAGATTACTGGTGAATAGGGCTGCAGATCTAATAAGGAATCACCTGCCCATGCATTAAAAAGGCCGAATTGATGTGGATTGACCTCCTTACAAGACAAATGCCGTCGAACTTCAGGAACCTTAGAAGAGGGTAGTAGAGAATAAAAAGGGAACAATGAACATCTTCTCGAACATGATCGCAGGATAGAGTTGTCAGCCATTCATCAAGCAAATGTTCTCACTTCTTGTACCCGGAAGAAGATTTAAAGCCCCTCCAGAGCTGGGAATTGATTCCACTTGCGATCAGATGCGAGGTATAACTTGGTCCTGATACTACGGCTTACAAGCCGCTCTAAATCGTGAATGGCTTTATCGATGATAATTGCCACCTCATCCAACTTTAGAACCAGTCAGTCAGGCATAATCCGTCAGTACTAAGAGCCCGAAGCTGGACTGTGAGACTAACACAGCTTGTGTATCCTGCAGTGGTTAAAAACGGGAACAATACCGATAAGCGTGTGGCAAGTGGCCTCGTTCAAATGGAGGTTGTCTAAATCCAATCTGATAGAGGTATTCTGTATTCTGCCGCTGTGGACTATAGACAATTTAAAAGGCTTCAATTGAAATGCAGCTAGGAACTGTTTGAAGTAAGTAAGTCTGTGCTATCCTGATCTGAGAAGACAAACTTTAGAACTGACCTTATACATCCTACCAGATGTTGTGAGGTAAGCGCTCCAGACTTCAGGAACTTCACCTGCTGCTCAGATGATAGTGATGTGCCCAACCGTCAGATGATAAGTATTGGCAACAGTCTAATATAAAATCATAGCCTTGCCCTGTGGGCATGGCTCAGAACAAAGCCAAAAACCAAAATACTGCAGATATCTAAGCGAGCATGTTTGGCAAAAACTTGACTAGGAAAGATTCTAAGACACAGTAGGATATCTGGATCATCCCACCATAAGCTGTTAGGTCACGTGTTCGTGCCTATCTATAGTAGCTAGGAGACTCTCAATACGATCATCTTCTCCCGCATCTTGCCTACAGTGTAACAACTGATAGCACGTCCAACGTTACGTCCTAGACCTTCAAACGTGTAAGGCGATACGCCCTACGATATTTTTTTTTCTTTTCTGTCTTTCCCCTCTCGTTTTCGGACGCGTTTCGCGTCTGGAGCTACTAGCAGCTGGCGCGTTCCGTACCGACTGCCCCACCCAGTCCAACCCGTACAAACTTTGCATCGGGCCTGGAGTCTTTGTATCCCTTCTCTCATCTTCGAACTACACACAACCATATACGTTCACCTGAGAGTATTTGTTTACATCACGTAACAAGGTCGCCGTTTTCGGTTACCAGGATAGAACTATATCAATCATCTTAACGTTATTTACACTTATAAAAGCGGCAAGAGTAAAGAACTTCAGTAACACAGTCAAACTCGTATATCAGTTATATACCTTTTCGACTTTAACATAAAACTTATATCCTAATATCTTCAATAGTCTATTACTAAGACAACTAGACTACATCGTTAGTCGATACCCAAAGACATAGATACTCGTAATAGGATTTAAATTTCTAGTAGATTAAACTCTAAAGTCGTAGAAACTATTACAGAAATCAATTAAAAACTTCTTAAGACTAATCAACAAATCATTTAAATTAAAAGTTTACAACTTTCCAACAATTAAATCTAATATTACACTAGTAGCAACAAATAAATCTAAAGTTGCAACAAAAACTGTATCTGTAGTACCTTATACATTAGTATTATATCAACTTTCTGAACCATTTATAAAAAAAGAATATATTCAATATATTAATATTACAACTAATATTTTAAAGTCTATCTTAGCAAATCAATTTAAAAAAACGATCTCTATATCAACCTTTAATTCATATCCAGCCCCAACACAATATATAACTAATCTATATCTAAACTATAATCTTAATCTAATTTTCAGTAAAAGACCCAGTTTCTTAATATACTATAATCCAAATAGTTACTAACAAAGCTTATCGATATCAAAATTTAATATATATTTTATCAATAGAAAATAGTATTACTATTTATATTGTTAAACCTATTAATCCTTAAAATCCTATAAACTAAATCACTAAATTAACCTTAATCTATTCTTCGAATATTAAATATATTTAGCTAAATATCTAACAAAGGCTTTTTATTAAGAATAATAAAGTAACTATAGATTATAATATTAAATATACTTAAGATCTATACTTTACTAGATTCCTTTAGATCTTCTAGAATAATAGATATACTAAATATAGTAAATATATTAGATACTCTAAGTACATCGAATATACTAGATATTAATAAGCTAGTTAGGGTTTTAGATTATAATAGAATAAATAGAATTATAGTTATTAGAACCCTGATATAGAAAACAGACAAGATTGGTTACTTTACTCCTAATCAAATAGTAATAACATATATATATAATATATACAATTTAATTTATTATCTGAATGTTTATATATTCCTAAATTAGATACAAAGTTAAATCCTATTAAAAACAAAGATAATTATAAGAATAAATATTTAAATATATCTATAGAATATAATACTAAAGTAATATATATCCAAATTTACTAATTTAAAGAGAGTAGATCTATAGACCTTTTTACTAAACGATAAATATAGATAGTTAAAAACTCTAAAAAACTATTTTAAACTATATACATCAACAGCAATAAATTAGCTTTTAGCAAAAAACTATAATTAATTGGATATTTGTAATATAAAATTAACTACTACATAGATATAGAGTATACTTAGAATAATATAAATAATAGAGATTATAGATCTATTATAGTAACTATATATAGTTTAGATATATATCGATCTATTACTATAATAGAATATTATAGAATTAATCTAGAATACTATAGTTATTAGTTTTATATAACAACTAGATTAATAATATAGATAATAGTTAGATATAGCCAATAAATAGTAGCGAACATCAGTTTAATAATAATAATAATATCATATCATAGAAGTCTATAATAATTTTACTATCCTACAAAGACATTAATAATAGCTTATAGAGAATTGATATTAATAATAATAAATAAATAATTATAAATAGTATACTAACTATAACAAATATAAATAATAAAAAAACTAGAACAAATAATAATAATAGCAACACCAAAACAAACTAATACTACTTTAAAACAACTATATTCAATCAATTTTACAAAATACTTATCGAAACAACCAAACTAACTATACTAACTATATTAATCTAAATAACTACTTATAAATACTATAGAATATAAAGACTAGACAGAAAACAGTTATATATATCGCTAAAAAAGAAGAATAACAATATAATCTTAACCTAAATATTAATTTATAAAACACTTATTAGAATGAATTAATTAATAATAATTATCTACTTTAAAACAATATAGAAGAAAGTGTATATATAGATAAGGATATTAACCTAACAACATACTAAGCAAAGCAAATATAATCTTTTCATAACAATAACTAATATAGCTAATATCAATATTAATCCAACCACATACATCAAATAACTCTTACTATATATCTTTAACAAATTAATTATTAAATTAGATATAATTACAACTACAAGTTTAGAATTTATTTATCAAATCTAGCAATATCTTTCTACAAAAATCAATATAGCAAATATTAACAATCTAAAATCTGTCTATTTAAATATAGACTACCAAATAATATTAATTAATACAACATTAACATATTTGTTAAATACTCTAATCCTAAACATAAAACTACCAATTTACATTAGTAACATTAGATCCAAATATAAATTAAAAATATATATTACTATTCTACTATTCTTTTATAACAAAGATAATATAACAAAAATCACAATTAAAGCCTATTTAATTAATAATCTTTATTTAAAAATATTAATTAGGATTAATATTCTAGAATATAAAGATTTCAGAATAAATTATAAAAAACAGAAAGTATATATAGCATCCTATATAAATATAATTATTAAAGTCAAGATCTATATCAAACACTATTATTAAACTTTATACAAAATATATACAAAGATAGGTATAATCATATTACCATATTTATAAATATTAGTCAAAATTATCCTACAGAGCAAAATTCTTACCGACTACAACTATATATTTAAAAGAAAGTATTTATTACTATCATTCTATATATATTAAACTAACATAAACTTTTCTAAAATCCTAGTCGTTAATAAGATATCAAATAGTATCTAGTTTTCAATAAAAGAGTTTATAAACAACTTATAGAAAATAGATTTTACTAATATTATAATTATAATCTTAGAAATGGTTAAACTAGATTATTTAATATTAATAAAGGAATCAATAA